GTGTTTCTCTGCCTGATACAGTACCTCTAAATAATACCTGTAAACTCTGGTGTGTTCCCTAATCATATAAATATTTTATCTGATTTATGACTTGAATTATGTTATGATACATTACCTGAATTCTGTTCTGATTTCTGATCTGGATTCTGTTATGATATCTGATATGAATTCTGTTTTGATTTCTGATATCTCCGTTTACCGACGGAGAAATATTTTATCTGGGGGGTTTATTGTTGGAGGAAGATTATCTGCAGACTTCTCGGCTTTGTGCTCAGGGTCTAAATGGCATGTGCGGTTGGGTGTATGGTTCTGGGGAACCTACACATTTATGATGTGAACGGATGGGGGTATATATATATATATATGTTTTAAAAAGATCTGAAAAGTTACATGGTTTTTTGGGAACACACTAGAAAACCTATTCTGATCTCCTGAACTCAGTCATCCAAAATATTTCTCTGAACTGAAAACTCATTGTTCGTTACCACCTGAAATATCAGTAGGATCTTTTCTCAGTATAAAAATATGTAAATGTTCGGAAACAATAAGGAAATAAATATTTATCTGTATCTGCACGTTCATCAGCATCATCTGGTAGTTCTGTATTACTGAGCTTTCCAAAGCTCACTCTATTACTCACCTTTTCAGGTTGAAAGAATTGTACCAGTGCATCTATCGACTTCAGTAAGGGAGTTCTTCCAGTGTTGTTGCAGAGTATGGTACATGTGATTAGGGGGCATGTAATTGTATTTTGATTTATATACGTGTTTGGAAATCTGTTTTATTTTTAAATAGTGAAAACTAATTTTATAAGTTTACATGTTCTGATAAAAAGTTTTAAATTTTCCGCTATTTTTACAGTGGGTCGCTCTGGTGGCCCTAATGTGACTTCCCGGATCAGATCGGGCTACCCTTATCGGTCTGTGGGGGTTACAGGAGGATAGGATTTTGAGGTTAAAGATGTGATAAATGAGTATTAATGAGTTTAAGTATGAGTAGGTGAGTTAAGAATATGTGAAGGGATGAAACATGAAGTGTTTGTAAGGAATTGAGTGAATTTTCGTGCTTAAAATGTGATTCATCGGTACCCATTCAACAGGTACTGATACTTCAAGGGTAAAATTAAGGAATGAATTCAAGGGGTACCGATACCTTGAAGAACAATATCGATACTAAGGGTACTATTACCTTAAGGAAGGTATCGATATCATCTTGAACGAAAAATTACAGAATGAAATATGGGTATCGATACCTTGGTATGGTACTGATACCTCTGTTAAAGGATGTATCGATACCCTATATGGGGTATCGATACCCACTTTAGATAGGAAATGAATTTCGCCTTTCCTTTAGTTTAAGAAAAGAAAGATTAGAGTATGCCATTTAGGATATTGATATGTATCAATATATGATTTGAACGTAACCCTGTTCCAGAGCAATCAAAAGAATTAGAAAAGGTCGAGAGAAAGATAAAGTGCTAGAATTGATTCGAATCAAATAAAGCTAAGGTGAATGCATACCCTAGATATAGTTTTATGGAGATAAGACTTGCGATAAGTCTATCTATTATAGTTGAATTTATGATTTCATACTCATGTACATGTGTGTATACATATATATATATACATATATTATGGTTATAGTGATTACATGCATAATGCATCCATGCTTTAATATGATATTATATGTTATGAATGATATCATCAAAGGATAATTCTATTTTATGTATGAAAAGATAAAGGATCATTTATGTGCATGTGATGTGTTTATATGAGAAAGATAGAAGTGATTTGGAAATGTGACAGAAACTCATAATTAAGCATATGTTATACAATATGAGAGCGGTATGTATAATTGGCATGCCAAGAGTTGAGGGATTATCAGTGGTCCTTCGGGACATAGTGGTCCTTCGGGACAAATATTCAGTTCCCCTAGTGGGAATTTATTCGAGTTGTGCTGACAGTATTCATGCACAACCTCAGTGTACTCATGTACCTTTTGTTCTCAATAATGTACATGGACATCCAAAGATAAATTGAATGAAAACTCTTATAAGAAGTTAAAGTTCATTTGTACATATCATAATTATATATGTAATAGTTTAGTAGATACATGTACATTGCAATGTCATAATGGATTGATAGTAATGCATGTTCATGATTTATTGTTATATGTTCATTTTATGCCTCACTAAATCTGTGACTTAGCGTGTAAGTGGTTTACACGTAGGTAACAAGAAACAAGAAGATCAGAATTAAGAGTTGCAAGGACATCATACCTTACTAGAAGATCAGATCAGAAGTAATTGGAAAAGTATGTAATTTTTTGTATTTAGTGTGTTGCCATGTAAACCATTTGTGAATTACAAATGCTTGATCGATTTTGTATTATTTTGATTGAACTTGTGTAAGTTAACAACTTTTATTTTAATGAAAGTTTCAAATTTCTATGACTTTCTTTAAGAGTCAAAGTTTGAAAAGTATTATGTGACACCTCATATTCGTATCTGGATCAGGTACGGGTTGAGGGTGTTACAGCAGCTGTAGACACCCTTTTTTCTCGGGTCTTAAAAAATATTATTATTATTATTATTATTATTATTATTATTATAACATTTTACATATTTTATAGGCCCGAAAGTGGAACCCAATGATACAACCCAAGGCCCAAATCAGTAGCCCACAAGGACCCAAAACCTAGTACAAGCCCAGCACCCCAAGACCCGACTCAGCAGCCCATCAATAGAATCTAACCGACCCTATTAAAACCTCAATTTGGCCTAACCAAAGACCTTAAACACAATAGGGTTTCTGGTAGGTTCCTAGTTCCTCTATGGATTCCAATCGTTGGATCAGATTTGATCTAACGGTTCAAGATTACCAGCTTAGGGTTTTTACCCTAACACCAGCTCAATCGCAGTCGATCAATCGCGTTTGTAATATGTTATTTTGGTAATTAATGAAACTTTGAGTTTCTTTTTTTTTGATCTCTCTATTTATTTTACATTTTATTATTGCCTTATTTACATAAATAACTTATTTATGTGTATATTCTTAATTTAGTCTCTATATTTTAATATGTTTATGTTTGGGTATTATATGATTGTTTTAATGCTTTTTAGTCACTTTTTGTTTTTTTATTTTATTGGTTAAATTACTATTGGTGGCCTGGTATTTTATATCTTTTTATTTTGGTCTTGCATGTTGTTTTGGGTTTTATTTCAGTTTTAGTACTCATATTAAGTGATATTTGTATATTAGCCATGATTTGTTATATTATTATTATTATTATACCTCTAAAGTTTCAGTTCTTGCGATTTGGTCCTTATTTACTAGGTAGGGTTAGATACTTTCATTATTATTTAAGTTTATCATGTTTGTAAATGTGCATTTTGATACAGATTTGTAACTTTGTTTTTATTGATCGCTATTATTTCATGTATGTATGTATATAAATTATGTAACTGTTATAATTCTTCTGTGTATGAAAATTTCTTGGTGCCTCATTATGTGCATATTTATTTATATATTTCCATTTAATTTCTTTATTATAATTCTTTTACATATTTAAATATGTATTTATTTTTGCTATTAATTTTAATCTATTTGTTATCACTCGAATGTTTTTCATGAACGTTATTTGTAGAATGGGCGTGGAAAGCACCATTTGATCGAAGTGGTGAATCCGATACGAAATTCAAACAAAATATGACTTGAAATAAATCGAAGTTTTTTAAGTTCTAATTAATTGGTTCTAATTCAAATGATGAAATGTGATGCATGTTTCTAAATTGCAATTTATTTCAAGCAAATGCCTATTTTCAATTTATATTCGATTCAAGTTTTTACCGAGGAAAGAATATTCTTTACATATAAGAAATAGACGATATAGCTTTCCCGATGGAGGATTGCTAATCTCGAGATTTCTTTTCAAGTTAAAGGATTTTCCGTAACAAATAAGTTGAAGCAAATTAATTAACTTTAATAAATGGATCATACTTTAATTATCGATGCAAATTCACAATTTCCACCATTTCGACTACGTGTAAGTGATTGAGTACCAATTTTGGGCGTTGTAGGGGTGTTAATCCTTCCCCACGCATAATTGACTCCCGGACCCGTTAAATTGAATTTTTGGTAAACACAAATCAACTTTTGTCTTAAAAAAATGATTTTTCCTTAAAATTGTTTTAAAAGACGTTTTTAGGTATTCGACCTACCTATCCCAAATGTCGATGGCGACTCCCTTTCCGTTTAATTCAAATTAATTTAAAATATCAAAATTTTCAAATAAAAGTCATAATTGTTTTTTTAAATAATACTTAATTGTTTTTTTAAAATGTTAATACAATAATATTTTGTTAATTAACACACACAATATAAATATATGACCTTTGAATGAGTGAAAATAAATTAATGTGATTAACAATAGAAAATGAGAAGTTCGTTAAAATTATAAGATTATGACATATGTCAACATTTATTAAATTATTTTTAATAAAAATTAAGACCAAATTTATAAAATGTATAAGTAATGAATATCAATTATGTAATTATATAAATTTATTTAACTATCATTTCAACATTCCCGTTAAAAGTCAATGATAAGTAACTTGATTTATACAATTTAAATAGTTAAATGATCTGATTAAAAATAACTTTTAATTTAATGGTCAAAATAAAACTTAATACATTAAGAAAATGTTTCAATCAATATTCATGAATCATGTCAAGCTATAAACAATCTTTTAATTACAAGCTATAAACAATCTTATTTATGACCTCGGAGGAGAACAACCCTTCTTTTAAACACTAAAATCACTTGATAAGTCCACAAATTATTTTTTTAAATAGACGATTTAACCATCGAATTTATTTAAACATTATTTCTAGCAATATCAATATAGAGAAAAAGAACATTACCATTTCCAAAACATTTTAAAAAGGAACATGACTGGTTCTTACGAACAATATTTTATAAAATTACATGAATAAAAGGTATTAGAAGAAATTGTTAAGGTGAGAATGCGAGTCGTTGGAGTCGTGCAGATGGTGAGGCGGCGAATGAGCGTGCCTCCCTTCGTAGCTTGTAATCACCATTCTTGGATCCTCACCTAATCTCTCCACTCGTTTCTTTACTCCACAATTATCTTGCGTGCACCGATAGTAACTCCTGCATTCACTTCAGTTCAATTTTTCATTATATTCTTACAATTGAACTTACTATTGTTTTTGTGTGTGATGAAATTCAAGGACAAACATAAAGTTTTATGTTAGAAGAGGTGAATTTCAAAGTTTTGATCTTACTTCTACCCGTTCTTTCAGTTCATCCCTGATGAGAGTATGCATTGTAAAATTTCTTTAATTTATGTATGGACAGGGAGAAGAAAAAGCTTAAAATTGTGAAAATAAAGTATAAGAATTCTTGTTGTAATGATCTAAGGCTTGAATTTAAATTAATTAATCTAAAAGTGAAAAGATAGGGATTTCTTATGAAGAACCGAAAGATTGTATGAAGGTAATAGTTAGAATAAAATTTTATGTTAGTTGAGTTTCTATACCATCTCATATGATCCATCCCTGTGAATAGGGTCACTGACACTGTTTCATCATGATGAAGTTAATCAAAGTATGATAAATTGTTAGTAATGATTATTACCAATTTGAATAAGTAGGTTTCCTCTTTCACATAGGCCAGGACTTAGGGCCCTACATGCTCCATCCTCATTATTTCGTTTGGAAAACCACTCTCATAAATATCATACTATTCAATCCAAACCGTGTTTCATTATTTCTTCTGAATAAGTAGCAAATTTACAGTAAAAGTGTCCAAATAAGGAGGTGAGAATGTTTAATTTTTAATCTAATGCATTCATCTGATTAATTTTTGATATAGAATGTTTTTACATGATTTTGAGATTTCTTGACGTCTTCAGTGGTGTTGATTATTTTTTGAGATCTCTCGGCGTCTTCAATTGAAATAGTAAAAAAATTGACGTTTTTACAAAAATATCATCTTAACATAAATTAATTACTTGTTAGGCACTGTTTAAGAATATTTTACGGATCTAACAAATTTTTAAATACTTTTTATAAAATTATTCCTGCATTAAATTACACAATACAATTATGTCTACCAATTACCACTTTAGACTTTCTGATACGATTTTTGACCCTTTCAAAATATAAATAATTTTATAAAATATTACGGATCATCATCATCATCATCATTTTAAAAATAATTTTGTAGAAAGGTGTGGTACATGCACCGCATAAGATTTTGAAAAATATTTATAAAAATTTTATAACTAATATTTATTTTTCAAAATCCTATGCGGTGAATATGTCGCGCCTTTCTGCAAAATTATTTTTCAAAATCCTAGAATATAGCATACGTATAGGATTTTGAAAATGTCAAAACGCATCAGAAAGTGTCAAGTGGTAATTGGTATACATAATTGTATTGTGTAATTTAATGCAGGAATAATTTTATAGAAAATATTTAAAAATTTGCTAGATCTGTAAAATATCTTTAAATATTTACATTTCAGACACCCTTTGAGATAATATTCCTGATCTAACACCCTTTGCAGAAATGCACAACCCATGCACCTTCCATCCCACCGACCCAACTGACTGTTCACACCATCCATTTCATCCTATAAATATCCCACTCAACTTTTTTTCACCACACCAAATCCTCTCAAAAACCAAACCTCGTTCAAATTTTATTTATAAGGTATATTTTGTTATATTTAATATTTTGTTAGTATTTTATTTAATTATTGTATTATTTAATTTTTTTATTATTTTATTTAAATATTATTTTTTGTAGTTATAAAATTGAAAGTGATCTGCTTCGTTTGGATGGAATTCTGTATAAGTTAACGGAAACAATGATGTTGGATATTTGTATTGAAGCGACAATATTCTTCTAGTTGAGAGGATTATTGTGAATGTTTACGAGTTGAGAGCGTATTTATAGTCGGGAAAAAAGTTTAAAAGTGATGCATGGATCGCGTCTTTCTGCAAAGGGTGTTAAATCGGGACTATTATTTCAAAGGGTGTCTGAAACGTAAATATTTAAAGAAAATGTGATTTTTTGATAAAATCGCCAAAAATACACATAAAAAAATTAACTAAAGACCCCGAATAATTCATGTATAAAAATTTTAACCTAAAGACGTCGAAATATCCTAGGATCTTTAAATGATTATTGTAGAAAATACGTTAAATGAAAAAATAATGTTGGAACCTCGCTAGTTTAGGAATTAAACAATCTGGGCACTTTTGCCGCAAATTTACTAGCTAAATGGTTTATTAAAAGCCAAAACTAGGGAAATAATACAGGGATGGAGCATGTAATCTGTATTCAGAGTTAAAATCACTGCACTACATTTTCTACCTTGTAAGCAAAATCTAGCTAGGTGATTTTCTACATAGTGACAAATGAAGAGTGAAAAGATAGATCTGAGTGTGCACCTGGGATGCTGAGTGTTCTTTACCACTTTCTGGCCGTACTTTCTCCACTTGTATCCATCATCAAGGACGTCCACATCGCTCATGGTCTTGAAGCAAAACCTAGGTTCCCTTACCTTTCTTCTTGCTTTTATCCTCTTCATTTTCATTGCACAAACCCCTTGATGATCTTGTACGCCAATTTTCTTGCTTTCCAAACACTCGTTTCCACATGGCCTACAATCATATCAAACAAACCCCCCAAAAACCATTTACTAACATACAAGAAGTGATCACATATACATATTTTCTTAAAATAAGGGTTACACTTAGAAGAGATATCTGCATGAAAACCAATATTGAAAACCAATATTGAAAACCATTTCATTTGCATGCATGGGAAGAAAAGCAAGGAATAATCTATGCACCTGAAATTTGCAGTAGATCTGTGCAGAAAAGGGAGTTGGGGTCCTCCAAAATCAGAAGCAGTTTCAAGTACTCTATGCCTTTGAGAGAATAGGGTTTCGGATTCAGATAGATCAGGCAATGCATGATCAGGTGCAAATGGAGGAGGATATGATGAAGTGAGGTTTTGAGGAAAAGTATAGAAACCCATTTGAGTAACAGCAGCAAGCTTCTCTTTTTCCTCGAACAAGCCCTGGTTTAGCATAGCTTGATGGGAGCTCGATGGCATCTTCGATATCTTCCTCTATATCTCTGCAGGAGGCTCGTGGAAGATGGTGATCATAAATTACGGATTTAGTTTAGGTTTTGCTTTCCCTCTGCAATCAGAGGTGAAGATATCATGAAAGATCTGCCCCTATTTGACTTTTGCCTCCCAAAAAAGCTATTTCACTTTTTGTATATACTTCTCCTCCAAAACCAGGCCAGCTTAATTTAAGACAAAGAGATGTAATTGGAAATATTAAAAAATTATTAATATTTTATTATTAAGCTAAACTTAAAATATTTATTTTTTAATATTTTCGATTAAAATAAAAAATATTATGAAAAATATAATATTTTCAGTTATCAATTAAAAATATTAAAAAATTAACCTTTTAAATTATGTTGAATCAAAAATATTAAACTCTTTTTGACATTTCTAATTGCGTTTAGCATTAAATTAGGCTGTACATAAACATTCTCAACCAAAATAACCCCCATCATTTCTCAAATTCCAAACCGACCCCACATTATATTGTTATCATCTTCTCTTCAATATTCAACATAATAATTACACTTTTTTCTCTAAATTATTTCTTCTTTTTCTTTCCCTCTTCTTTTTCTTTCCCTATTTCTTAATTTTCATTCACAGATAAATTTTTCCTTGTGGACCATATATACCCACCGTTTTCATCATTTCGAGTATAGCTAGCACTTAGTTATCTCTATATTATTTGCCTATTATGTTCATTTTGTACTTTTGATGGTAATTATTTTTGTGATAAAAATCATAAACTTTCAGTTTTTGGGGAAATAATGAGTGAAAAAAATAGGCAGTTATATGATGGTTTAAAATCATTAGACAATTTTGCAGATTATAAGGCTGTAGTTTTTGGTCGATTGAAACTAGAATTGTTGATAAGCAAAGGAGCCCATAATGATGCATATATAAGTATAATATGCAGCAAAAGAAGACAATATTCGGACATATTATTAAATCTTGGTTTTAATCAATGTTATTAAAACCGGATCGGACCGGCCGGTTCGACCGGTTGAACCGTGAACCGGTGGCCTTTCCGGTCCGGTTAACTCCCAAAACCGGATTAGCACAGAACCGGTAAAGAACCGGCTGAAAACCGGGAAAACCGGGGTGAACCGGCTGAAAACCGGCAAAACCGGTTTGAACCGCCGGTTCACTTTTTTTCTTTAAAAAAAATTAAACCAAACGACGTCGTTTGTTCAACGAGCCGAGTCAAATTCGAGTATTGCTGAGCTCGACTCGAACTCGAAAACTTTAAAAGTAAGCTCAACTCGACTCAAAAACTCACGAGCTAAAAATTATCAACTCGAAATATAATATTAAAACTTGAAATCGAAAAGGCTCGAACTAAAAAAAAAAATAGAAGTTCGATTGAAGCCTAAAATTTGAGCTCAATTGAAGCGAAAGAATAGTTCGTTTTGTGCTTACCAAAAGGCTCCATGATTTTGAATGTCAAATTACCTCTATTATTTATAGAAGTAAGTTGGGATGCTCTTCTATGTTTCTTAGCCATGTGGGATTGTTTTGTTCGCATATTTTTACTCTTTAAACTTTTAGGATACTCTTCTATGTTTCTTAGCCATGTGGGATTGTTTTTTTTAAACAATTAAACCAAATGACATCATTTGTTATGATTTTTTTAAGCCCCAATTTTATTTTTTTGATTATATTTATATAATTATATTTATTATTTAATATGTTATACCTTAAATATTATGTTGTAGTTGATTTGAATCATTTTGTTTCACTTGATTTTATGGTTTTTCATTTATACATGTTATGACTTGTGATATTTTTATACATTTTAATATTGTAAACTTAAAAAAAGTGTTATATATATATTAATATTGCTTTGAATATTATGTAAAATTAAAAAAATATATTATTTTATATAAAATCCGGTTCAACCGCGGTTGAACCCGGTTGAACCAGTGAACCAGTACCTTCACCGGTTCAATGTCCGGTCCGGTTTTAAAAACATTGGTTTTAATTCATACATAATTATAAACTGGTTATTTTTTTACTATAGTTATATTTTTATTAATTTTAATTTATCCAATTACATTCAATGATATTATAAATTTAATGTTTTATTAATAAATAATATAAAATAAAATTTCCAATCTTATTATTTTCTACGGTAAAGTACACAAATGGTCCCCTGATTGTAAGATATTATTTTGTTGAGTCCTCTGGTTATTAAAAATTACAAAATGATCCTCCGACTATGGGGAGTTGCTTTATTGAGTCCATCAACTATTAAAAGTTACAAAATGGTCATCAAAATATTCAATATGTTTCAAACTAGTCCTTTTTCGTTAAAAAAAAATTAATGGTAGTCTGATCTGGACATTAACATGCTAACTGAGATATTATAATATCTGATCACATTGTCTCAAACGATTATCATATTTTAGTTAGTATGTTAACGTCCAGCTTAGACGACCGTTAATTTTTTAACGAAAATGATGAGTTTGGAATATATTGAATAGTCAAGTGACTATTTTATAACTTTTAATAGTATATCATTCAACAAATAGAGAATTCAAGAATGGCTTAAGGAATAAGAAAGAATAACATGTGGCAAATAAAAATGAAGTGGTGGCAGCATATGGAGAAGCTTCAACACGACAACATTTGGATCAATGACGTCAGCAACCAATTGGTGAAGTGGCAGCAATTTAGAAAATACTTATCAATTAAGAAGATAAGGTTGCAAAATTTAAAGATAAATAAGAAAGCAATGGAGGTAAAAAGAAGAATGTATAGATGTATTTAGACGGTTTATTTTACTTATAAATACATGTAGTTAGCATGTATGAATATGTATATGAGTAGTGAATGAAAAAAAAACCAGAGTTAGAGAGTGAAGTTTAGCAAAGCTTTGAATAGTGGGGTTGTTTTTGTAAACTAGCCGCAGCTAGTGTTTGTACCGTATTTGTATTTGGTTCGTTTTAATAATAGTGTGTGAATTATAAATTATCAAGTGCCCACCTACATTTTCTATAAAAGTGGTATTAGAGTTTGGTTCGAGTTTACACAACGATAAAGATGACCAATATGATTCAACTATAATCCCAAGATTGAAAAAAAACAAACTATGTCAATTGGAGTATTCAAATGAAGACGTTATTAGGCTCCCAAAATTATTGAGATGTCATCGAGGAAGGTTACGTCGAACCTGAAAATGCAGCAGTAGAAGCAACCTTGTCAAATAAAGAGAAACAGGCACTGAAGGAAGCTCGTAAGAAATACAATATAGCATTATTTTTTATTTTTCAATGAGTAGATGAATCTACCTTTGAAAAAAAATTCAATGCAAAGAACGCAAAGCAAACGTGGGAGATTTTACAAAAATCTCTTCAAGGTGCAGAAAAGACGAAAAAGGTAAAAGAAGAAAAAGGTATGATTACAATATCTAAAAGATGAGTTTTAAATGTTAAAAATAAAAAATATGAAAAGTATCGATGACTATATTAGCCGTGTAAAAGAGGTAGTAAACGAAATGAAGAGGAATAATGAATCACTCGATAAAGTCAGAGTGATGGAAAAAAATTACGGTCGTTGACATGAAAATTCGACTATGTGGTCGTGGCAATTGAAGAATCAAAAGATTTATCTCAAATTTCGATCAATGAGCTTGTGGGTTCACTTCAAGTCCATGGGAAAAAGATGAAATAAAATGAAGATTATGAAAATTTGGAGCAAGCTTTGCAAAGCAAGATCAATGTCAATGAATGTGATGCCAGCAGTAACTACACACGAGGTCGAGAAAATCATGGAAGATACAGAGGAGAACGAGGAACTCGGGGTCGATTATATGACACCGCTCAAACAAGATAAAAATTACCAAACATCATGTCGTGGACAAGGATTTAGAGGCTGAGGTCGAGGCAGATATCAACAAGGAAATAAATCACAGGTACAATGTTATAATTGCAAAAAGTATAGTCGTTATAATTATGAGTGTAGATCAGCTCCTAAACAAGAAGAAAAAAATAACGTAGAAGCAGCTGAAGAAGAAAAAATTGAAAAATCTCATGTATTCCTCACTTATAAAGGAAATGAAGAATTCAAGAAAAATATTTGGTATATCGATAATTGTGTCAGTAGCCACATGTGTGGTTAAAAGGATATGTTTGTCAAGTTAGATGAAACAGTCTATAGTCGAGTAACATTTGGTGATGACTTGCACGCAGATGTCAAAGGAAAAGACAAAGTCATGATTACTTAGAGAAATGATGAAAAAATACGTCTCAGATGTGTATTATGTACCGTCTTTGAAAAGAAATATCATTAGCCTTGGGTAGCTTCTTGAAAAACGATACAAAGTGGAGAGGAAGAAACGCTCTCTTGCCATCAAAAATAAAGAAGGAAAGTTAATTTCCAAAGTCGATATGACTTGAAATCTTCTCTTTACAATTGATATTGAGTCGGGAGAAGTAAGGTGCATGAAGACTGCGATAAAAGATGATTTGTGACTGTGACACTTAAGATATGGGCATCTTGGTTTTTTTTAGCCTGAAGCTATTATCAAAAGCAAGTATGGTGAAATGACTACCAGAAATAAACCCTTCAAATCAATTATGTAGGGCTTGCATTAAAGGAAAGTAACATAGATAAAGTTTTGAAGTTAGTAGATCCTGACGAATCCAAATACCATTATAGATAGTACACACAGATAAAGTCGGTCCTTATGACATACCATCACTTGGAGGTAATAGGTACTACTTAACTTTTATTGATGATTTTAGCAGAAAATGTTGGATTTATATCTTGAAAGAAAAATCAAAAGCATTATAAAAATTGAAAGAGTTTAAAGCAATGGAGGAAAAGCAAAGCGGCCAATATTTGAAGATACTTAGATCAGATAGAGAAGGCGAATATTCATTAAATTTATTTGAAGACTTCTGTAAAGAACATGACATCATTCATCATAAAACAGTTAGATACACACCCTAACAAAATACAGTGTAGAAAGAAAGAATTGCACAGTCCTTGACATGGCAAGAAGCATGATAAAAGATAAACACC